ATTAAAATTACAGGATTGAGTTGCAGTCTTTCATTACAGAACATGAAAAAATTAGGTATGTCAGATAAGATCTTTGAAGTTTCAAACAAAACTGTGATAGATTATAATAGCGCACAATTATGACTCACTGGGTCTGGGAAATAACGTCTTTAATAGGATGCAGAGAAAAATAATATCCTTAGATGAACAAAATCTTGGTTTATCCACCATCAAGCCTCTTTCTTCTGAAACAGATCAGTACTGAGTTTCCAACTTTCTCTTTTTCTTTGTTGTATCAAGTCTCCTTTCACATTTGTGTTACCCAGCATTGCACTCTTTACACTTTGAAATACTCCTTTAGAACTAAGGCCTCCAATACCATACACCAAATTTGTACTATCCTCCCCACCGCTATAATTATTTACTTTAGTCCCCTGCTTTCCAAAATGCTATCAATATAACATATTAGTACCTTGTACAAAATTAATTGTATTAACCTAATCTTCTTCTATTTTATTATTCTTGGACTACAGCCATAAATCTTAAATATTATTTAATAATGCTTATGTCAACTCTACAACAAACCTGGCTGCAGCCATATTTGTCTTTCTAGGTTGCCACAAGAAGGGGAGGGGGAACGAGGCATTTTTGCTAGTCTAAACATGAGTACATCCAATAAACATGTTCTCTGAGGAAATCTCGTGCCTTGGAGTTCTGATTTACTTGGTTCCATCAGTCGGAACCTTGACAGTTTATGCTCTTTGATTCCAACCTTGTTCATGTCCCATTACTATCCTCTTTTATATAAATGGAAAGAGCAACTTTCTATGATGCATTTCAACTCTAAGCCAAAGGCCTATATGTACACTACACATATAAACATCTGTCCCAGATGTATCAAGATATGTGGTGCCATCCTAAATAAACTATTTAGAGCCAAGGATAAGACATTCAGATAATTCTTGAGAAATGGCAGACCATTTAATGACCGTTCAAAACAACAACTGACACCCCAAAACCTGTTTCAAAGTTATGACAGATGCAGCGCTTCTGCGGTCATTCACACTTATGACAGACCATGGGGATGCTGCAGTGCTCTTCCCTGCTTGTCTTCTCCCCGCCATCCCTTGCAGCATTTAGGCATTTTCCCCCATTCCTTCCAGGACCCCTGCTTTCTGCACCTATCAGCCGGCTCCAAGCAGGAGGCTGCAAGGCTGCAAAGCTCTACCTCTCTAGGCTTTGGGAAGCTGGCCTTTGCATACAAGGCAGATTCACGACCAGCTCCCCAAACCTTTCCCTTGCTTAATCACCTCCCTCCTCCCCAGCCACATTTCTTCAATAAAAAAACAAAAAATGCTGAGAAGGAAGAACGTGTTGATTTCCCCCACCCTAGCCCAATTAGGTGCTAAAGCTAAATTTGCCCTCCAACCAATATTCCTTTTAAAAACCTTACCTTGACTCCAGGCTGAAGAGAAAAGCAACTAAGTGAGCAAGGAGAGAAAATCTTTCTGCAGTTTTCCCCGCATGAAGTACAGTGGGGAAAAAAATCCCTAAAAGTTGGGCCAGAAAATGGAGGACGCTAGGCCTTCACAAGATTTAGATCCGCATGACTGCCTGTAGAGTCCAGTTAGGACTTAAAGGTTATACTGTAGACTGCCCTCTACAGACAATCAAACCCACAGCAAAAGCCTGCAAAGTCCCCATGTCCTACATTTTCTGGCCCAACTTTTAGTAATGACTTATTTTTTAACTTCAGGTGGGGAAAAAAAGCTGCAGAAACATTTTCTCTCCTTGCTTGCTTGTTCCTCTAGTCTTTAGCCTAGAGTCAAGGTAAGGTTTTTAAAAGGGACATTGGTTGAAGAGCAGAGGGAGAATTTAGTTTTAGCACCTAATTGGGGTTGGGGGAGGGAAGTTCTACAATGTTGTTTTAGCAATAGCAATAGCACTTATATACCGCTTCATAGTGCTTTACAGCCATCTCTAAGCAGCTTACAAAGTCACCGTATTGCCCCCAACAATCTGAGTCCTCAGAAGGATGGAAGGCTGAGTCAACCATGAGGTGGTAAGAATTGAACTGCCGAACTGCAGGCAGCCAGCAGTCAGCAGAAGTAGCCTGCAGTACGGCATTCTAACCACTGGGCCACCACCATTTTAACTGTAGAAATGTGGCTTGGGGGAGAGGGAAAAGATTAAGCAAGGGAAAAGTTTTGGGAAGCTGGTCGTGAAGCTGCCTTTTATGCAAGGGCCGGCTTCTCAAAACCTAGAAAGTCAGGAAAACTTTGCAGCCTTCTGCTTGCCAGCTGATTGGCACAGAAAATTAGGCTAGGGATTGCTGGCAAAACAATCAGCTGTGCCAAGGTTGGCTTGCAAGATATCCAAAGGGTGGGAAGCATGGTTTATCTCTTGGTGGGGGAGTCTGAGGCAGATGGGTTAGTGCTTGCATTAGGCCTGCCAGAAACTCCCCACTTAACGACCCTTACCAATTCACTAGGGCAGGGGTGTCAAACTCGCAACATCACATGACGTGTCGCAACGTATCATGACTTTTTTGCCATTGATGGCAATGGGGTGGGCATGGTTTCGCTATGATGAATCCAGCCCGCGGGCCGGTAGTTTAACACCCCTGCACTAGGGTGACAGCGATGGCTGGTTACTTGAGGCAGTTTCATGTAATATTATTTTGACTTATGATCCTAATGGGCAGGCTTCATTACGGTCGTAAATGGAAGAGTACCTTATAGTCTGTGATCAAACAGTTAAAACTACACTTTTCCATTGGTAATTACTAGTCCCTGGCAACATAACCTCACAGTAAGTAGAAGAATTGTATAACATTTGCTGCTCTTTGATTACAAACTAATTTACATATGAGAGGCAGCTGCTTCACTTGGCCTAACTGTTGAGCCAATTTTGCACCTCATACTGTGTTCAATAGACAATGCCACTTCCCTAGAAAAATGCCCTTCCCCCACTGAATAGATGAAATCATGTGACTACCACTTTTTTACACACACCCCACAGAGAGACAGAGGGGGGGAATGAATTGTTTTCTAGCAGGGGAAATAATAATATTTTGGTTAGAATATGGGAAAAGAGGAGCCATATGCCCAAAAATTGGAATATCATTCTGTTGCCTCCAGCATGGGATAGAATAGGATTTGGAGCCTGGACATTGTATTGGTGGATGCATTAGAAAGGGATGATCAAGGCACCAAGTTTTGGTTTCACTGTTTGGGGTTTTTTATTATTGTTGTGAGCCATCCAGAGTTGTGGTACATAAGACAGATGGCCATACACATGCATCGATTAAAGAAATAAAATAAACAAATATAACAATATTTGAGATGCCTTTATTATAAAAATTAAATATTAAAAAATGAATGACCAAAAAAACATCACTTGTCATCCCTTCAACTAAAAAAATTCTATCAAGGCAATTACTAGAATAATCAGCGTATATTCGTATTGTAAACTTCCGAATGTTAATTTTATCCAACTGTTAGTAAGCATGGAGCTTTCTGTTCTTTCACTCCACAGAACTGAACGACTTGGTACGGAGACCCATTTAAGATGCTTTAATATCAGAAATGCCATTATAATTTTTGGCTTCATATATGGAAGGCTTACATAGGAAAAAAAATCCCTATCATTTTCATTGCCATTTACAAGGTCGGACAAATATATTTTAATGTTATTGTTATTCTGAAATGTTTAATATTCAGAATGATTGATCTGTGGCAAGTTTTTCTTCCCACTCATAGTTGGTTTAGTTTTAAATGAACTCTACAGGTAGTCCTCGAGTTACGAATGTAATGGAGCCTGCCCATTCCATTCGTAACTCGAACTCTTATGGGAGTGAATCGTGAACCAACAGCACACTGGAAGTGGTGCCATAGAAAATCCTGCCAAATGTAAAGATGCCAAAGGAGTACTCCTAGTGAAGTTCATGGACTGTGGTTCAACCATCAATTCAGAAGTCTACTGTGAAATGTTATAAAAAGTCAGATGAGCCATCCATAACAAGCATCGGGGCATGATGACTTCCGGTGTGGTGTTGGTTCACGATAATGCTCACCCAGACACTGCTAGACGCACCCAAAAATTTTTGAAGCAATTCCGTTGGGATATTTTTGCTCACCCCCCCATAGCCCAGATTTGGTGCCCAGTGAGTACTACTAAGGAATTTCAAACCTTGTAAGACGTTATCACAAGTGACTCAATCTGAATGTCAAAAAGTAATGTAATATTGTATTTTTCTAATGTGTATAATAAAGGTTCTGTATCTGCAAGTGTCTATCATTGATAACCAAACGGAGGTTTATTTCCGAATTGCCCTTGTATGTTCTTTATATGATTTTAAAATTCCTTGGTTCTACTGTTTTTCCTATGAGCTATTTCATTATTTATTCCAGTCAATAGGCTTGAAAGGTGAAATATTTGCAGAGGTATATCATGTCAACGTACAAACATTTCAATCGAACATTATAACTACAGTACTGTAGACATAAACCATCTTCAGTATTACTGACTGTTCTCGATAATACCTTTAAATAACAGCATTATTACTGATTATGCAATAACTGTTTTGTAGTACTATAAAATAATTTCCATCACACTGACTGACTTTTGGAAATATATTCTGCCAATTTCTTGTGAGTAAATATCTAATTGCAAGATTGCACTGAATATTGGGCTGATATAGTAGGTGGCTTTCTAGATTGTCTGCATTGAATTATGCACTTAATTTGGTGGATCCTAACAAATAAAATGGAGAATTTAATATTAAGTTAATTTAGCTTGAGACAAAAAGCCTTATTATATTAAAAAATATCCTGAGGTATGCTTTTCCTTTATTTTCATTCATTTCCAATATTATATTTAATTTAAAGAAAAGGTTAAATCATCATATTGCTTGTAACATAAATATCCCAAACTGTAATTAATAGTGATAAAATATTGATAGAATATTCACTTATTTATACTCATTGTTCTAAGATGTCTAAATAACAATATTAAGAATCTAAGTATTTTACATGTTGTATTGAAATAATCTACTATATTAAAACTGAGAAGATGGAATAATAGATGGTCTATATGACTAGTTTTAATAATATGTTACAAGATTTAACTATTTCTATATTAATACTTTATAGCTATATCTTTATCTTGTTCATATATCACTTCTTTAAATCACTACTTTTATATTGTTTTTTGATTACATTAGCAATATTATATTTTTAGTTGTACTTCATCATGTCTTCTAGTTCTTATAAATATTTAAATGTTAAAAAATACTAAACTGTGTCTGATGATGAAACTATATTAAACATTAACTAAAAGTATTTATTATTTACTATTTTAAATTACTACAGTAAAGTAGCCTGAAAATGCATGCAGTAGTTTTGACAGCCAAATTTTTGAAGTTCAGGATTATTTAATTATTTAATTAAATATCCATTTAATGTGATAGACATCAGTGTCATACCTGAAACTCTTGAAATGTGGGGTTAAGTGATTGCTTTGCTTTTACCTTCAATTTTTGAAGTAGAATATGTTTCTGTTGTGTTTCTAAAATCATTTTCTATTTTTCTCTTACTTTTGCTGGGTCTTTAGAAACTCACAATTTTTCTAGATATATGCAGTTTTAAAGCATTTTTCTGTTAATCTGTATTGTTCTTTATCTATAGATTTTATTTCACAGATGCATGTTTTGAATGAAAAAAAAATCACAATATATAGAAAAATATGAAAAGAGGTGAATAATTCCATTCTAGTAAGACTGTTTCATATTTTTTAAAAAGGCAGATTAAAAAACAACCACACATCTTGCAGCTCATAATATAGATCAAGAAAAACTAAAAGACTTAAGTCCATGCCTTGTATTAATATTCCACAAGTACCACAGCAGTGCAGGAGATGGTATGATGGTTCTTTGAAAACGCCAGAGTAGTTGAGAAAAGGTACACATAGGAAATAAAATATCCTACCAGTATATTGTTTTTAATTAACATTTCTTAATCATCTCATCTATCTATTGGGGGTCACAGTTTAATCTGGTAAATGCAAATTTGTGTATTTATGCTTTCAACAAATCAGCTTAAAAAGGTAGTATTTTCTCCTTCAGCATTTGAATCATGGCTTCTGATCTCAAGGAAATATTCAATTTTCCCTGGATGGAACCTTTTTGTATCTAAAAAAAAGTACCTTATAACTTTTTTGTATGATGAAATACAAAGTCTTTTGTTGGCATTCCTGTCCCTTGGCACTATGTAGCCCACCTACGGTATAAGGCATCTTGTGTGAAGTGTTGTATAGCACATCAGAAGATACAACTTCAGAGAAGCAAAAGAGAATGGCTTTTTCCAAATAACCAGCATGCTTTTGCTCTCTTCCATTTTCTTCAGTTTTGCTCCAAATCTCTCTAGTCCCATCCAGGGAAAATAGAAATATGTACACAGTTAGCAGCCATTTTTCTCTATAGGCTGAGCTGTGACATCAGATAACAGAGGCATCTGTCTTTACAGTCTGATGGCCTTCATTGCACTTGCCTTTGTATGTACTGCCCAAACAAATATTCTCTTTCTGCCTTGCAGCTCAGTGCAATGATAAAGTCTGTTTACAGTATGTTATGATTTAAATTAGAGAAGCACATTTTTAAAGAACTGCAAACACATTACATTAGAATGCTTCATCACAATATACATATGCAGGTAGTCCTTGTTTAGTGCCTGCCTCAGATAGCAAACATTTGAAAATATAATGATAATTAATTGTAATAAATGGTGTAAAAATTCCTTTTTTGATCAATGCTTGCATTTACAGCCAAATGTCTGCTCCTGAAACATACAATGGAATGAGAGAATGCTAGCATTGCTGCACAAGAGATTATCTATCTATCTATCTATCTATCTATCTATCTATCTATCTATCTATCTATCTATCTATCTATCTATCTATCTATCTATCTATCTATCTACCTACCTACCTACCTACCTACCTACCTACCTACCTACCTAATTTATATAGCCACTCACCTCACAAAACAAGTGACTCTGGGCAGCTTTTATGTAAATGAGGCAGCAGCAACCAGCGATCTTCTTAGTGTCTGGAACCATTTGTGGTTGCTAAATGAGGACTAAAGACAATGTATCTAGCCTAAAGCAGCATGTCCCAATTTAGTATCCTTTATGAGTTCAACTCATAAAAATAAAATGATCCAAAGATAAAACTGGCCTGGATAGGATAGAGGAGCTCTCTAAGGGTCTGTATTTTGCTGATTATCCCATCTATTTATTTATTTTATTTATTTATTTAACACTAACTTATATGCCGCCCTTCTCCCCACGGGACTCAGGGCGGCTCACAGCACATTAAAACAACACAAAAACATTTCCCCTATAAAAGCCAATTAAAACCAAATATTTATAGCTGTGACATTATTAAAATCTTTAAAAAATTTTCCCTATTTAAAATTCACCCTAGGTCAGTCCCG